GAGTGTGTAGAGCAAGAAAAGATTGAACAAAAATTTTTTTTGGTTCTTGATGTAGAAACAAGGTGGAACTCTACATACTTAATGTTGGATGTGGCTTTAAAATTTCAGAAAGCATTTGAGTTGTTAGAAATCCAAGACATTAAGTATCGAGATGAACTTCCTAGAGGGGAAAAGTCAAGGGGTTTGCCTACGTCTAGTGATTGGGAGTATGCCCGTTGCTTGTTACCTTTTTTTAAAGTTTTTTTTTATGCTACTTTATGTGTGTCGGGCTCACTTTTTGTTACCGGTAATGCATACATGCGCGAGATCTTTGCCATTGGAATGCAAATTTCTACATGGTGTAGAAGTAATGATGTTGGCTTAAGTACTATGACTAGGAAAACATGATAAATGTTGGTCAAATATTGATAACATCAACTTAATGTTATTCATTGTAGTGGTGTTGAATCCTAGATTTAAGTTAGGATATATGAATTGGGTTATTATTAATTCCTATGATGATGTTAATGTTGAACTTTTGAAGACAAAAGTGCATACAACTTTGTACACTTTATTTGAACAATACAAGCTCATTTGTGCTTCTCCTAGTGGGCAATCTAGTCAACAATCTCAACAAGCAAGTCAAGTTAATGTTGAAGATGAAAATGTTGATCTTGAATAATTAATGTATTGTATGTACGATGAGGCAATGGCTAGACAGGAAGTTTTGGTGACCAAATCTGAGATGTATAAATATTTAGAAGATGAATGTGAGCAGCGTCACAAGGACAAGATGTTTGATATCTTGAGTTGGTGGAAGGTCAATTCAAATAGATATCTAGTTCTCTCTTTGATAGCATGAGAGGTATTGGCTATGTAGGTTTCTACTGTTCATCTGAGTCAGCATTTAGCACTAGGGGTTGTGTATTAGATCAATTTCGTAGCTCCCTCACTCCTAAGACGGTGGAAGCTCTTATTTGTACACAAGATTGAATTTGGGCTACACATGAACCATTCATGATTGAGGAGAGCTTGGAAGAGATATCAAATCTTGAGTCAGGTAAATTTTTTGCTTTAGTTTCAATTATTAGTTATTATGTTGTTTTTATTGGATTTAGTGACTGTATTTTGAATTTAACCATTATTCATATGACCTATTTTTTGTAGAATTTTTGTCTTTGGCAATGGGAAATACTACTCATGTTCATCTTGATGATTGAAGGTTTTGCAACATTTAATTGAGGTTTTATTTCTTTAACTGTTTTGTTATTGTAGGCAATGAGAAAAAAATGATTTACTTTATATCAACTTCTAACATTTAATTTTTATTTGGGTAGAAATTGGGAGAGTTACTCGTATTGACTTAATGTTGGTTTCTGCTTTCCACTTGTGGAGTTGTATTTGCATAATTTTTTTGTTGTTTTCCATTGGGAATTTGGGACTTATTTTGTTGTTTTATTATTGACGTTTCATTACGGACTTTTATTTTTGTTTCACTACAGACTTTTATTTGTATCAATTTTTAATGTATTGTTAGTTGTGGTCAATGGATATGTATGAATGTTTAATTTTTATTTGGATATGTATTGTTGATGTTTACAATTTAATTTAGGAATTTTTTTTTTTTTTAAAGTTTAATCCTAAAGGGGAAAACCGGTTAATTGATTTTTTCAAAGCAGTTAACTAGTTTTTCGGTCAACCGAAAAACCGATTTTCCCCTAAACCGGTTTAGTTTCGGTTCAGGAATTTTCTTGAACAAAAAAACCAGTTCGGTTCAAGAAAACAGTTAACCGGTTAAACGGTTTTGAACACCCCTAATAAAATGCTCTCAAGCTATAAACTTTGTTAAGTATGAGATTAGAGTTTCGCCTTTCTCCTGCCTGATGTTACTAAGGTAACTCAGGGGCATCGCGAAGCATCTCCTTGCTTGGAATTGTTGGAGGTACAGTGTGACAAACTATTCCCAGGAGAAGACCAAGCACGCTGGGAGCCTCTTGTAACACCTTTTCGTGTCTTCAATTAGAGTGACTGCAAAGCCGCAGCACTTGGTGAGGTAAGAGACATGATGCAACTCTATCAAGTCGTTGAAAGCATTCAGATGTCTTGGGGATCACCTTTTCTGTCAAACTTAATGTCCAACTATTTGAAGCCTGGTGGCAGTGGTGCCTGACCCACTTCTTCAAAAAATAAAGAGTTGACTGCTCCTACGGTCGTGTTTTCTTGATGAACTTGGAGGTGAACTTGATATAGCTGCTCGTTCACCTTAGGGTTCCTGGCCAGGCCCTGGTTTGAGCACTGTGCGTCAAGATGGTTCCTAAGATCGTTTGTATACCGCGAGGTTAGGAAATTGCGGAGGTTAGTTAGTTGCCCTTTTCATTCGCTCTTCCCGGGCATGTTGGTGTATGACGATGTGTTGTAATTACTCGGATAATAAGTTTTATTCGAGATTTCCTGATGTGGGTGTGAATTGGCCCATCAATTTTGGGCGTTTGACTAATGGAGGAGCGTCCTTGGCGTGGGTTCGGACTGACACACTAGGCTCGATTGTTTGCTCACTTAGGGCGAACAACTTCCTACCACCCTTCATTCTCAACATTGGTTGTTTCCATGGCCATCTGCCCGAGTCACTCTAATATGGGACCTCGCGTCTTTGCACTCCGCTAATTTTCGACCGCTGATGATAGCGAACTGATGGTCGCGAGATGAGCTAGAGTTGTCGCTAGCGGTTTTAAGCTCCTAGCTTGATACTCTAGCGACAACGTCCGGTTGGCTTTAAGACTGGTTTCCTTGTCGGAATTCCTTAATGTCTGCCACCTCTTGTTGCAATCCCTGGTATGCACCGACGAGTGATTTTAGTATGTCCATCATTTGGGTAGTGGTTGGACAATGTTCCTACCCCCTGTTGAGCTACCAATGGAACAATCAGTGGGCGAGTTTGCTTGGCCCTTTTATCAATTTCGTGGTGGTTGGGCTCATTCTCCTAGGCAGGGTTAATGGCACTTTTGGACCTAGTAAGTGTCATGGTTGTGGAATGTGGTTGACGAATAATGATTGATAAGGTGGAAGCCCTCTTTCTAGCGCCAAAATGTTGTTACAAAAACTCGCAACAACTAAAGAAACTCGATCGACCACGATGAAATTGGGTAGAATGTGTGTGTGGTTAAGAATAACCAGTTAAGAATGGATTAGAAAATCCACAATGGGAGAACAAAAAAGGTTTATAAAGTGGTTTGGCGGGTATGAACCAAGCCTACGTCTAGTGTTATATTATTGCTTTTATATTTGCTTTATACACAAGGTGATTATAAGGAGAAAACACATAATAATAAGCTAAAACTCTCTCTAAGTCGTTTCCTGTTCTTGTGTAAAAATTTGATCCCCAAAACAGAGGTGGTTCCTCCTTTTTATACACACCATCTAACATTGGTTGGGACTTGGGAGTTGTTGTTACAGGGTAGATTACACGCATAATCCCTCGTAATCCGAATCTGAGTCAGCCTCGCCCATGCTTAATACTGATAAGCTTGTTGGTAAAGTCATCTGTTATGTGAGTGACACCTAGGGTGAGCCTGACTATTAGATGGATAGATAGCACAGTTCTGGTCGTTGAAAAGTCTGCACAACAAATGTATAAATATAATTTGTATCTCTATTTATTAAGAAATCCATCGGTCCCTAATGTCTCATACGCAATAGTTGATAGGGACCTGGAGAGAATATATATATATTGATGCATAAACTACTATTGAAATAAATGAAAGTTTAAGAAATCATGTCAAAAAATTAATTTTAGTACACATCACTAGCTCTCTGGCTAATCACTCACAAGTTTGGGGGCTGTAACAGAAGCTGGCCCATTTCATTTAGTTTAAAATGTGATGTTGACAGTTGGGCAGATCCAGCCATCCAGGTCCAGTTTTGCTCTTTTACTTGGTAAATTGGCCAATAATCATCTAAAACATGATATTAAATGAATTTTTAACATACTTAAAAATTAAAATGATGCAATTCCCAGCCGACCCTCCACTATAAAGTGAGACAATGTTTGACCGAGTCCTTAAACCAAGCTTGATTATTACCTTTATTAAATAAAGAAGTAATTGCTTAGTATACGAGTACGATGACAAAGAAATCTCTGATAAAAAATTACCCATAGGACCGATTAAGTTGTTGCATCAGCCATCAAGTAGCCGGCAAATGGTTCAAAGCAAGTGTTGATTCAAGCTCCCGCGTTATGTGATAACAAATGTCCCAAATATAAAGTCTACTGGCAGTTGGTACCATCAATAGTTTAAAGAAACTTTTTTATATACAGTATCATACTTCAATGATAGTAACTAATAAGCTGAATACTGGCATACAAGGAAACAGAGCGTATCAGTTCTTGAAGCTGGAAATTCGTTTCAGAAGCCAAAGGGCAAGAGCTAAAAGTCTTTTAGTAGTAATCATAGATTTTCTAAAATTTTCTCAGAATATTCTTTTCAGTCCAATGCTGTTCAGAGAATTTCAGAACTATTTTTATGTCCGAACTCAAATCATACATTTATCTACGAAATGCAAAGAGATAAGAGATACTATTGCATTGCTAAACATCTATAAATATAATCAACCTGTACAAATTCTACCTTTAAACTAAACGTAAATGAATCAATCACAAGTCATCACTGCGTAAGAGCACTAATTGTTCCCAATGTTACCACAAATAACTAAAAGCAGTAGGCATTTCATTTTAAATATTTTTATATGTTGGACAATGGTTGATCTATCTTAAAAAAGAAAACTATTGAAATACACACAGCCAACCAACTTGCAGGACTGCATAATTCCACAGTGATCCAAACTGCAGGCTCCCTGTTTGCTCATTAGATGCATTTTTACAAATTAATCTAGGCAAGCTATGATCAAGGAGGATTCATCAAACAACTTAATTATGATAATTCATAGCTACATTTAGAACTACAAGCATCATTGGCCAATGGAGCAGCAGCGTTAATGCCCTTAGGCATACTGCATAAATATAATGTTCTGAAATGATATTTGATTTTTTATAAAATGCACGCAAGATACAAGTATAACACCAGCAATATTTCTCATCATTCAACACCAAGAAAGTAAATAGAAAGAAACACATCCATTATTTCAATTACCATGACACCCAGTTTCAAGCAAAAGATTTTCCAGACACACAAAATCTTCAAAGGCTACTGGTGTATAGTAACTTGTACACATCACAAAAGCTACTAAGTATTGGACTCACAGGCGAGAAGGAATTCGATGTTTAAAGAGCCTTGATTATATCATCAGCACTGGAGACAGTAAATTCTCCACCAGATTCCACATTTGCAGCCTTCACCTTCAAGTCATCAACCAAGAGAGCAAACCTCCTGGAGCGAGTTCCAAGTCCTTTCTCGCTAAGGTCAAGCTCAAGGCCCAAAGCGTGGGTGTACTTTCCTGATCCGTCAGCAAGGAACTTAACGGCCTTGTTCTCAGGATATGTTTTGGCCCATGCCTTCATCACAAATGGGTCATTAACTGCAAATGTGAAAAAAATTAGAGCTTGATGAAGATATACTTGCAAAAATCAATGCATACAGTTTACATCAACCTTGGCTTGGGTGATGTTTAGTAGAACTTTTTGAAACAGTTAAAAAGAAGAAAGTAATAAGCTATTTAATCAATCATTTTCAGTTGTTTCACCTTTTTTTTTTTTTTTTAAGAGTCTTTAATACATAAATGCATATAACACTTTTAGCAATGCCTTGTGACTGACAGTCACAACCAATACATCTCCTTGAAATAGAGGTACCAAATGGAACCTTAATGGTCTAAGTTATTTGAAAGGTTTCATTGATAGTTTGTTAATCTATCTTAAGTTGAAATCGGTTACTTCAAACAACAATAATAGATTATCAAAACAGAAGTTCCGATAATTTTGGAATTGATCCCGTGCACACTTTCAGCCCCTATTGATGGCTCCTATATGTTTTTCAGCTTGATGAAGATATACGCGCAAAAATCAGTGCTGACTTGACGAATGCAAACTATGCATCCAACCAAAGAAAAAATCAACACAAATGAAGCCCAAAATTTGTTTTAAACTTCATTAGAAAGCAAAATTAATCTTATGATGCGTTTAGTAGCACGGACATAGTGATTCAGAGGATGACCTATAATTTCAATTATTCAGGCTATATTTCCACACAAGGGCCTCAATATCGTAAATCTCATAGACATTAGTCAAGAATATAGACAAGTTATTAATAATAAATACGA